GGGGCGTGGCCTAAGCAGCTTTTGGTCTGCAGGGCAGTGTTGGGAGCCTGGCAGGGGAGGTGGCAGTTTCAGCTTAATTCACCTGGTTCTCTTTGTGCATTTCCCTGGAGCTCAGAGGGGACCTAATTAACTGACGGTCTGATTGCCAAGCTGGGGGGTGCAGTTACTGGGAGTGCTCTGTGCCCCCTCCACCCCACACCCTTACTATTCAGCTTGGTTCATGTACCAAGGAGGGCAACTTTTAGGGGTTTTTTTTGTTTGTTTTTGTTTTTATGAGGATTGGGCTAAGAGTTCCACAGCCTGAGAGAGACTGCTAGGGGTGCCAAGAGCCAGGCCCCCAGAGATACCCCCCAGGCCCCTGTTGGTCTGTGGTTCAGGCCCACACCTGAGCCTCTGTGTGAGGTTGGAGGTGCCTGCAGTGCTCTGGCTCAGCCTCCCTCTGCAGCTGGATCCAGTTTCTCTGGAGCCCTTGAGCTGACCTTAGGGGCAGGGCCACGTGGGTGCCATGGCCCATTGGGGCACCTTCCACAGTCAGCTTCAGTTGCCAGGTCTGATGTTTTTAAAAAGTGGAAGAGAAAGGGCCTTATAGGGGAACAACAGAAAGGGAGATGCCCATTGTGGAGTAGCCGTGGAGTGGGATGGGCATGGGGTGGGAGTCAGCGACAGGTTTTTCTGTCATCCTTTCTCTGCCTTGGCATTGCTGTGTGGCCTTGAGCACTTTGCTGAAACTCTCTGAGCCTTGAGCTTTCACCTGAATAAAATGAGGGGGTTGGGTGAGCTGTAGAGTTCCTTTCAGCTCTGACAGGCTTTGATTCAGAGGTTCCCTGGGGACTCCAAAGCACCATTTGTTCCCTGCTGCCTGAGGAGGGGCAGCGGGGGTGGGGTGGGGAGAGGGGGCTGCAGGTGTCTGTCCTCCCCCCCTCTTTCTTCATCTCCATAGATCCGGCGCAGGAGACCAACCCCTGCCATGCTGTTCCGGCTCTCCGAGCACTCCTCACCAGGTGGGCCCCTTCCCTGTCCCAGCCCAGCCCTGGCCCCACCCTAACTCTGATGCCTTCTTGGGGCCCTTGCCAAAGTCCCAGGAGTAGGAGATGGAGCCAAAGGGGGGCAGGGAGTGGGTAAAGTTTGGGAGGCCAACTCTCCCTGGTTTCATTTATTGACAGGCACCTTCCAACACTAGGAAGGAAAGGGCACACTTTCCCTTTCTCCAGAGATTGACCCTTTGGGGAAAGTAATTCAGATTCTCTTTCTCTTTTCCCCTTCTTTCCTCCTCCTCTTGGTTCCTCCTCCCTGCGTTCATTGACGGCCTCCCTCAGAGGAGGAGGCCTCCCCCCACCAGGTGAGTTTCCGGGGGCGGCTGGAGGAAGGGATATGGTGGGATGGCTGGGATTACTTCCCTACGAACACAGGGTACCACCCAGGAGGACACATTAGCATATCAATCAGCATATCCATCGGCACCTCTGGTGAGAGTGCCTGGTGCAGGGTGTCACGGGAGATCTTCCTCTGCTCTTATCTTTGCTCAGACTTGGGTGCGGCGTCCAGAATCTAGGGTCTCCTCCCTGAGCCAGGCCACAGCTTATGGAGGCCCTTCAAAGCAATGGGTGGCCTCAGCCTGGTGCAGGACCTGAGGGGCAGCAGCACCTAAACACATTAGCAGAGGCTAGACCAGTCTGCCCCGGTTGCTTTGGGTGAGGTGGAATGGAGGGAGCGGGGAAGTGAAGGGGCCTGTGGTGAGCCCATTTAACCTGGCACTTTTCCTGGCAGAGAGCCTCAGGAGAGGGGCACCACCTCAAATCGAAGAGATCCAATCCCTGTGCCTACACACCCCCTTCACTGAAAGGTACTATCTTCCCACCCACCCGTCAGCCTGGCTGTCCCTGCGACCCCTGGAACTGGGCTGACTTTGGGGGAGGGAGGTGACATGTTGCACTTTTGTCAGTGGGGAGGGGTTGTCTTGTGTTCCCCCAGTCCCTACTTAGAGACCAATTTGGTCCTAATTTGGTCTTGTGAAAAAGAAGGCACCCAGAGGCCAGGAAGGGTGGCTGTGGGGTTGAAAGAAAAGGGGTGGCTGCCTAAAATAACAAGCAGGCATCACTATAAGAGACTCAGTCGTGTACTTCCCTTATGCAAGTACAGCCGACCACCCCCCACCCCCCCAAAGGGCACCTCCTTCTCTGGGCTGCACCCCTTGCTCCCCTCTTCCATTCGCATAACATTTGCACAGGTCTGCACACTGGGTGCTTCTCCTTGCTTTTCCTTTCTGTGTTAAAAGGCAAATCATTTCTCTAGCACAACACCTAGTGTGTGCCAGGCTTCAGTGTGGGGCACTGGGCAAAATAAGTGAGATTTGGTTCCCCTGCTCCTGGGGCCCTTACCTCAAAGGGTCAGGGAGAGTGACAGAGGAGAGGACGTTTAAGCCTGGATTTGAAGGTTGAGTAAGAATTCAATGGGCAGGCAAGGCCCAGAGCATTCCAGGAAGAGAGGAGGGTGTGCGAAGGGGAGGAGGTGTAACATCCCTGGGGGCTTGAGGGGAGGCCTGGAGACTTGGCTTGAAGTGGGGAGCTGTGGGAGGTTCACCTGGAAGAGAAGGAGGGGCAGATGGGAGTGTGGAGCTGGTCTCTTCCTTACTAAGCCTTAGGGTGCCCTCCCACCCCCACCTCAACTCCTACCTGAGGCTCTTGCTGCCTGGCCAGCCCCCTCCTCCCGCAGACCGAGGGAGGTAGGGAGACCTGAAGGGTGTGCCCAGAGCTCCCTCGCGGTGGGTTTAATGAGTTCCCAGCACTAGCCAAGGTCAACAGGTGCACCTGTCAGCCACTTGCCAGGGTTGGGAGCAGAGAGGAGAGGCCAGGAGGAGGGGCGAGATGGGCAGGGGCCCTTTCTCTTCCCTCAGGGCAGGAATATGAAAGGTCAACAAGCAGGCAGTGTGGTTGAGCACCTGGAAGGACTTCTCACCTGTAGGCATGTGGGGAAGGCTGACCCCTGAAGCGGCATTGGGGGTGGGTGGCAACTTCTGAAAAGAGAATACAAGAAGTCTCTCCTCCCTGCCCTGGGCTCTGGGGGCGGTGAGTGGACGTGAGGGAAAACCGCCCCTTGTGCTCTTGACTTCGAGCTTGAGGCAGAGGGCTGGGTGAAGACGATGGGCCAAGGCTTGCTGGGCACCCTGCAATGGCCAGAGGTGTGCCCCCCCACTGCCCCTTTGGGCTGCACCTAGGGGAGTCTGAGTGGGGAGAAGCAGGGTGGTTGGAGGGCCAGCAGAACACGGGGATTGGGGTCTGTACTGGGGACCTTTGAGTTCAATAAGGGAGACCTGGTGGGGGCAGGGTTCAGGGCCCCAGAGATGGAGATGGAGAACGAAGGGGACAGTGGGGAGGGCGAGGGGGAGACCCAAGAGAACCCTGAGAGGCACGAGGCGCTGTGCACGCGGGAGGCTCACGGGGTGCCAGATTGGCTCTGAGCACACCTATTGTTGTCACTGTGGCTCACGAACTGAACTCTCCTCCTCCAGTTAGGGGAGAGGGTGGCTGCTGGAGCTGCACCTCCCCTTCTCCCTTCTCCCCTCCATCCAACCCTCAGAGGACCCTTCTGTACCTAAAGGGCACTGTTTTGTAGGCTCCGACCCCTTTCTGGGCAAGGGAGAGCCCCTGGCAGGGGCAGGGCTTGTAGGGGGAGACGCCAAGGGCCCCCGGGGGAGGGTGGACAACACTGAGTCTTGGCTTGAAGGAGCCTCTCCAAGGCCCAGCTCTCACACTTGGCTCAAGGTGAAGCTTTGCCGTGTCCCCAAGGCCAGGGCAGGGCGATTTATTGTGCTTTTATTGCCTGGGTAGCTTGCCCAGAGCCAGCGGGAGGCACCAGGCTGGGAGCTTGGGGCAGGGTGGGGCAGCGGGCACACACAATGCACCCTCTGTGCCTGTCCCCCAGTTGGCAGGACTTCGGTGCCCTGCTCACTGCACCGGAGGTTTCCAGCTTGGATCTACCCCTCTGGGCTTTCTGAGGGGGAGGGGCTGCCTGTAGACCAAGAAGTAGCTGTGGCAACCCCAGCCCTAAGCTCATCAGCATCTTGTCTGTGGGCTATGAGTTAAGTGACCTGAATGCTCTAAAATCCCACCAGCTGCTGTCCCCCTGTTGCCTCTGCCCCAGCCACTCCTCACAGTGTCCCTTCAGCCCCTGCCATTCCCCCAGAATTGCCCAGCCCTGGCCCCTTTCTCAGAATCGCCTGGTCCTTTCCATCTTTTGGAAATTTGTCTCCATCTGCCCACACGGTTCCCTTCCTAGGCCCTATCCCAGCAGGCCTTGGTGGTGTTGGGGGGTGGGTGGTGTTTGCCGCTTTCTAGGTCACCACAGAGGGAGCTGGAAGCCTGGGGATGTGGGTCAAGATTGTGGGGGCCGCGTTGAGCACACCGCATCCCCAGGCACAGACTTCACTGGCTGCAGACTATTAAGTCCGCAGTCTCAGAATTGTACCTACCTCTTAGAGACTGGAGAGTGCGTCTAAGATGGGGCAGTGCCAGGGGGTGTCGACCAAGCCAGGCAACAGAGTGATAGGGGTGGGCAGGATCAGGGTGAGCAGTGAGCCCTAAGCCAACTGGGCACTCCCCTAGAAATTGAAAGGGACAAATCCCCTGGGCTCTGGCCCAAGGGCTCTGTGCCTTTTGCCTGGGGCTGTAGCTGGTGAACACTATGTCCAGTACCAGGTCCTTAGAGAAGTAAGCTCCTCAGCCAGGGAATGTTAAGCTGTTGTTATGCCCGCCTGGTCTTGTCCGACTTGGTACCCTATGGCCTGGTGCCAGCCTCTAGGGGGCCAGCACCTTTGGACAGTTTAAGAGCTAAATATGATCAAGAGTCTACCCCCTGCTGCTTCAGCCCTGGCCTGGCCCCCAGCAAGCTGACCTGGAGCCTTCAGCTTTTGAACTAGACCCCTGAGGGGGGCTAGCTCTGCCTTAGGCCCATGGAAGGAGGCTGGGGGCCGGGCCGCATGCCTCTCGGGGAGCTCCGGGGGCTGCTTCCCGGGCCCGGCTGACCCTGCCTTCCTGGGTGCCCCTGTGGCAGCCGTGCAGCGCATCGCCGAGTCTCACCTGCAGTCCATCGGCAACCTGAGCGAGAACCAGGCCTCGGAGGAGGAAGACGAGCTTGGGGAGCTGCGGGAGCTGGGCTACCCAAGAGAGGAAGAGGAGGAGGAAGAGGAAGAAGAGGAGGAGGAGGAGGAGGAGGAGGACAGCCAGGCTGAAGTCCTAAAGGGCAGCAGGGGGCCTGGTAAGCTGGAGGGGCTGTGCAGCCTGGGTCCTACTGCCACGGGTCAGGTGGAGCCCTCCAGTGTCCTGGGACACCCCTCCCCAGTTCACAGTTTCTCACACATGCAAACTGCGATCACACTACAAGGGCCTTCCTATCCTTTCCCCCCACAGGCTGCCTCACACTCAGCGTCACCCGACACCCGGGCTGCTCCCATCCTTGACTCAGTCCGTCTCCCAATCAGGTTTTTCCTAATAATTCCTCTCTTCCCAAAGAATTAAGGCAAGGCCACAGGAATTTTGGGACTGGACCCAAGGAAGGACTTCCCATCCATGGCTGTGAGGGGATGCAAGGAGATGCAGGGGTAGAGGAGGAATAGTATCCGATGTCCCCATCGCTTGCATTTCTGAACGTAGGGTGTGGTCTCTGTTGGGAGGCAGAGGGGGCTGGCTGGTAAGTCCTCTCCAGGACTCAGTGACTGTTTCTCCTCTTTCATTTCCTAGGCTGGGGTGAGAGGGTGCCCTCTAGTGTCATGATGGAGAATCTAGGATTCAAGAACTATCTGGTCCTCCACACCTCCAACCCCAGCTACCTGGGAAGAGAGGGACTAGGGAGAGGCCTAAGACCTGCTCAGAGAGCTACAGAGCCAGAGGCCCCAGATCCAACAATCTCCACAGACTGTCTCAAAGCCCAGAGAATTTCTAGGCAGGAAGATCTCAGACCTTCATGGCTGCTTGTCCCATGCCTGGCCTTAGAAGGCTGCACCACCTCTATTCCTCCTAGTGTAGACAAAACTTTTTGGTCCCATTACTTACTTATTTGTTCATTTGTTTATTTATTTTAAAACTATATCTTTACTGATTTCAGAGAAAGGAAGGGAGAGGGAGAGAGAGAGACAGAACCATCAATGATGAGAGAGAGTCACTGATCGGCTGCCTCCTGCATGCCCCCCACTGGGGATCAAACCCGAAACCAGGGCATGTGTCCTGACCGGGAATTGAACCGCGATCTCCTTGATCATAGGTCAATGCTCAACTGCTGAGCCACGCCGGCTGGGCTGGTCCCATTATTTAAATATGTTTTTATTGATTTTAGAGAGAGGAAGGGAGAGGGAGATAGAAACATCGACATCAACATCGATTGGCTGCCTCCTGCATGCCCCCTGCTGGGGATCGAGCTAGAAACAACCAGGGTATGTGCCCTGACTGGGAATCAAACCGGGACCTCCTGGTACGTAGGTTGACACTCAACCGCTGAACCACACCGGCTGGTCTGGTCCCATTATTTATGGGGATGAAAACAGTTGATCACCCCTGCTTGATGTGTCCATTCTTTACACCCCAATGAAATGTCTTGGGCCTCCTCTCTGCATTGGCTGCTAGGACATCAGTCATGGGAGTGAAAGCTCTAACTCTAAGAGTTAAGTCGACTCCCACTGAGACCCCCCAGAACAGGTAGAGAGGAGGTGAGAGGAGACTGTTGCCTCCAGAAAAGCAACAGGGCAGTGGATTGAATGACAAGAATACTAAGGAGCTATATAAATTGCCACCATTCCCAGAGTGGCTCCTGGGTGCCAGCGCTGGGCTGGGCAGGTCCCATTATTAACTAGTATCTTATTTAAGGTAATTGACACAATTTTCCTCTTACCATCCCCTTCAGAGAGGTAATAAACTGAATCATCTAAGTCGTATGGCTAGTCATTGGCAGAGCTTAGTCCAGTCCTCTCAGCTATACCATAATGGCCTCAGAAAGCTTAGCCTCAGCCATGATCCAAGACAGTCAGATGGACACGGAGAGTCTGTGGTTTCATGCTTTTTTCCCTGTCCCCAGTTGGGCAGAAGACAACTTGTGGCCAGGGTCTGGAGGGCCCCTGGGAGCGTCCGCCCCCTCTGGATGAGCCCCAGAGAGATGGAAGTTCTGAGGACCAAGTGAAAGACCCCGAACTAAGTGGTGAGGCTTGGGAGTGGGGTGTGGGAAGGCGGAGCTGGGACCTTGGTAGATATGTTCAGGCCCTGAGTCCCTTTGCTTGTCTTGCAGAGCCCGGGGAAGACCCACAGCGCCCTGCCCACCCAGTGCCTGACACATAGGCACTCAGCCCTGCATCTCCCAGAAGAACGTGGAGGGGGCATCACTATTCCTCAGAAACCCACTCTGTCCTCACCCTATTTTCTACCCTTCCCCTCTCCTGCTAGGGCTGCGGCTTCTGACTTCTAGAAGACTAAAGCTGGTCTGTGTTTGCTTGTTTGCCCACCTTTGGCTGATGCCCAGAGTCCTGGTCACTTGCTGCCTGATGCCTACCCCTGCCAGTTATTCCCCTATTCACCCAGTGGGAGGCAGGATGTGAGAGAGCTTGCTTGGAAAATCCAGTAATCGAGGGACAAAGGTTCATCCTTCACAATTCTACTCCCAGACCCTCTCCCTTGGGCACAGGAAAACCACAGGGCAGGACCCTAAGATCTGAGGAAAGGGGGTACAGAGAACCTGTAGGTGTCCTAGATCCTTCTCCATCCCCTTTCCTCCTACGGGGGATTCCCAGTCATCATCCCTCTTACTGGCTTCTACCAGGGCCGAGGATTCAAGCATCCTTTTCCAGTCTCTTCATTTTGGAAATCTTCCCCTATCACCCCTGCTCCCCAGCCTGGGTGCCTGGAAGATGGGCTGGCAGAGGCTGCTTTGTTGCATTTTGTTTGTGCTTTGATGCCAGGAATGCCACCTAGTATACATCCTTAGTGGGGGGCATATGTTGAGGGGAGCCAGGTTCTTCTTGTCCTCCAGCTGCTCTGCCCCCTTCCCCTCTTCCCTGACTCCGGACCTGAACCACTCCTGTGCTGTAATAAATCTTTGTAAATAACTGTGCTGAGACTCCTTTCTTAGGGGGAGAGGAAAGTGAGGAGGAAGCAACAGGTCCTCCCTCTACAGCATGTGGAAGACCTGGTTGGTGTTCATCCAAGAGTCAGGGCCTTTCCCGTAGTGTCCAGTCCTCTAGGAGTCTTTCCTGCAGAAAACAAGCTCGGGGCACTCTTAGGAAGGACCACAAAGGTTCTAGATCCGGCGAGGGGCGGCTGAAAGAGGCTGCGGAGGAAAAGAGAGCAAAAGTGCTTCAAGAGTGATTGTGGATTCCTCCAAATCCTGTCCCCCTGGCACCAAAGGCCTCCTCTCAGGAGGTTCCCTTTTTTCCACTGTGCCGGGCCTATGTGGTCCAATAAAGACGATGCCCCGGGGCTTCTCTCGCATTCCCCCACTCTCCGGAGGACCCTCTTGGGGTCCGCCTTAAGCAGCAGCCCCCATTTCCGGGCCTGGCGGCGGGGGGCTGGAGGGCGAGGGGGCGGGGCTGCGGTGCTACGCCCGCCCCCGTTTGCTCCGCGGGGCGGACTCAGCGGCGGAAGTGGTGCTGCCTCGAGATCCCCTTCCGCTCGGAGGCGCTGCCGGGGCCGCGGAGCTGACTGTGGCTGGGGAAGAAGAGCCGGCCGGTGGCTGACATGCAGCAGGTGGGTCCAGCAGAGGTCACTGGAGCTGGGTAGTCCCGCGAGGACTGTGCTTGCTGGAGGATCCCGCCCTTGCCCGGTGTCCGTTCTTGGTTCCGTCCGACCCTTCCCGCACCCCCCGCGCCCCAGGTTCCGCCCCCTTCCTCTGCTCCGCCTCGCTCGGTCTGGTGCCGGGTCCGGCGCCTCAGACCCTCTGCCGCCCGCCCACCCTTGAGGGCCCGGAGAGGGCGTCCCGGGTCGCCCCCTAGAGCCTCCCTGTTCACTGTGAGGGGAGAGGCGAGGGGGACGGTGTCTGGGTTTTAAGGGCAGGAGTTGGATATGGGGAGGGGTCAGGGTTTCCTACTGAGAAGGGAAATATGTACGCGTCCCGGGAGGTCTGCGTCTCGCTGACATCCGGTCTCCCTCAACTTCCTTTGGAATGTTTTTCTAATTGACATAAAAAGGGCCCTTTAAAGTATCTCTCTTGAGTTCGTAGAGGCGCACAGCAGCGGTGACACTCGTTCCTGACTGCATAATTGCACGTGCCCCGGCAGCAGCTGACTCCCTCCCTGCCCGCTGCCCCGACCGTGGGAGTGCCTGTCCCGTGCCGCTCCGCTGCGGCTCCTCGCTCGGAGCACGGGCCCGGCTGGTCTCTGCGCCCAGGGCTTCGGCTTTATACTGCTTAAATACCCGAAACGCACCCAGATCCACAGCGTAAGGGCAGCCCCTCCCTGGAACCCCCCGGTTTGGCCATCCGGCTGCCGACCAAGTGGACAGTTTCGCTTTAGCCAGAGCTCGCTGTGTTTGAACTTGAAGTCGTCTTTTCCCCTGCAGACTCATTCTTCCCTTGCCACACCCATCCCAGCGAAAAACCTCGGCATTATCTCAGTTTCTCTTCTCCCTCAATTCCCACATCTAATACCAGACCTTGCTCAGCTAACTTCTTTCTGTTCTCACCTTTGTTGACGTGTTTCTCACCGAGGTGATTGCAGTGGTTTCCCAGCAACTTCCAACCCTGGCTGCCTGCACCCAGTCTCCAAATAGTAACTCCTGTGATCCTTTTAAAACACAAGTCTCATAGTATCACTACCTTGCTTAAAACCCTTTGATGGATTTCCATTAACTATGGGAAAGGGTGATTTCCTAGCACAATTTAGAGAACTCTCTGTGATCTGAATCTCCTTTGTGCACCCTAAGGTGCAGTAATATGGCACTGCAGGCTGCACTTGCCCATACCTTGCTGTCTCGTGCTTCTATGTCTTTGCACACAAGCCTGTCTACCTAGAAAGCCCCTTCTCCTCTTATCTGCCACACTACCTTCTACTTGTCCTTCGGAGTGCTCTGCCCAGGCAACACTGCCTCTGCATCACCTTTTCCCCAACCCAAGGCTAAATACTCCTATGCCCCTGCAGCACCCTGTTCGTAATAGCATAGTGGTTGAGAATGCAGACTCCTGAATCAGGCTTCCCTTCATCAGGTTCTGATGAAGTCAGTGCCTCAATTTTCTCATTTGTAAAAGGGAGATAGTAATGTGCCTACCTCACAGAATTATTGTGAAGATTAAATGAAACAAGGTGTATATAGGGCTTAACACAGTGAGCACATGAGTGCTCAGTAAATAAGTGTTACCTATTATTGTTTATATAAGAACAATATAGAGCAGTGGTTATAGCTTTTAATTTCATAGGCTGCTTGAGGACAGTTGATGTGGTTTATTTATTCTGTCCCAGAGCCTGAAAGCCTGGCTTTTTGTCAATAAGTAAAATGCTGTGGTAGAGGGCATTGGGAGCAGGGTCTGGATTTATCGAGTGAGGATTTAAGAGTGAAAAAGACCCAGACCTGATGTCAGTCTGCTCAGTAAATGAATTTGAAAATGGATAATGTTACATGGCAAGCATTAATTCCAGAGAAAGTGCACAGAGCTCTGGGAACCCAAGTCAGAGAAAGGCCCACAATTGCCGAAAATTAATGAGGGGGCCTCAGTGCAAGAGAATGAGTTTACCAGAGGGAGGTGGAAACTGGTGGGCTCAGAGAATGAAGAGCTGGGTCCTCTGAACTGAGCTGTTGGGGGGTGGTTCTGAGCTGGGCAGGAGGGCAGAGGCAGCCTCCTCTGCTGAGATTGAGGATTCCTTTCCTCAGTTGGCCATGAGGAAGTGCCCCTTGGGTTAGGAACCTGCAGGCACCATGCCCTGGCATGGTCTAGAGGCCTGGTATTGGTACCAGTTGTTTGGGGGCAAGCCCCCTGCGGTAGGCTCAGTCTGTGGGCCGGGTCTGTGCTTTAGACCAGAGGCTAGGCCTTTGCTCCCTGCTGTTTTGTGTGCCTGGAATGCTCATCCTCCTTGCCTCCAGGGATAGATGCAAAGATTCTTTTTTTTTTTTAAATATATCTTTATTGATTTCAGAGAGAGGAAAGGAGAGGGGTAGAGAGATCGAAATATCAATGATGAGAGAGTCATTGATCAGCTGCCTTCTGCACGCCCCTGACTGAGGATCGAGCCCGCAACCCTGGCATGTGCCCTGACCAGGAATGGAACCCTAATCGCCTGGATCCTGGTCAACGCTCGACCGCTGAGCCACGCCCGGCTGGGCTAGATGCAAAGATTCTTGAAGGCCTAGATCAGATGGCTCCTCCTCTTTGTGGCTTTCCCAACCTCACACACTCCAGTCTGGGTCAGACGTTCCTTTTTCTGGGAGCCTACAGTCCTTTTTGTTTGTTCCTCCCTAAAAGCGCTGATCTCAGCATAGCACAGTTTATTATTTATTTGTCAGCCTCCCTTACCAGACCGGGAGCTGCTGAGTGTCCCCAGGGACTAGCAGTGTCTGGCACATTGTAGGCTCTAGTATGTGTGTGCTGCGTTAATTTGTGTTCTCATACACCTAGACTTGTGCAGATGACACCAAAAATCCTGTACATTTGACAGCTCATACTTGTTCCATTGAGTGGCAGAGATTGTTGGCTCCATTTTACAGATGAGGAAGCTGAGACTTGGCAGGTAAGGTCAGGGTCACTGAGCAGGGACTTAAGAGCTGTCTCCTGATACCAAGTCCATAACTGTGTCCTGAAACTGCCTCAGAGTCCTAGCCTCCAAAGGGGCAACTGGGACATTAGTGAGACAAAGGACAAGGAGGCCACCCCTTCTGACCAGTTGTGTATCCCAGCTGTGAACTTTTTCTGGCTGGGAAGTGACTGATCCTGGCTTTCGTCTCAGGGCTGGTGCTGGGAGGAGTCTGAGTTGAACCACCCCTACCCCTACAGGGGACCTTCCCTTGCGTGAACTGGTAAGACTGAGATCCTTCCGGAAAATGACTGGCCCTTTCCAGACTGACCTCTGGAACTTGTTCTCATTAGCCCCGGGTTTTACCCAACAGCAATAAGGGGCGGAGTGGGGCCTGACTCTCCACCCCTGAGTGGGCCAGGGTCATAGAATCACAGAGCTGGGGGCTTCCCGACACTTAACATGGCCTAGCCTGTGGACGCGCGGGAGGGCTGAGTGGATCTGTTTGTTAGGCTTTTCCAGTAAACTACCGCAGAACCTCCTGGGCTGGGGAGGGGAGGGGAGGGGACCGTGGTGAATACAGTTTCTGTTTTGGCTTGACTCTTCCCTTTCCACTTCCCCAGAAGGAAGGGAGAAACAGGCTCTGGCCTTGCTTTGCAATCTCATTTGTCACTGCGGCGGTGCCCTCTCTTTGAACTTTTACTTGTCCAGGAAACTTCTCAAACCCTCTGTGGGTGGGGTGGAGTAGGAGCCAGGCAGCCAACTGGGCCAAGGCTGATGGCAGGAGCCACTGAGCCTTGAGTTACGGAGAGCCTTATATGTGCCATCCTGCGTCAGCTCCCTGAGACCAGAGCTCATTCCTCAATCCAGCAGTACCGATGGAACCCTCAGTGTGGGCAGAAGTGCTGTACACTGGACATGCCTAGGCATGCCTGGCCCAGGTCCCTGCCTCTAACACTGTACCCATGGCCCCTAATAGTAGTAACAGTTACTGCTAATTAGGCATAGGCACTTTGCATGTGTTACTTCTAATCCTTTTTAATAGCTCTGTGATATGGGCACTATACTGTCCTGTCCCCATTTTATAGATAAGGAGACTGAGGTTCAGAGAGTGATGTGGTCAAAGGCACACAGCCTAATGAAGAATAGCCTTGGGGTTTGGACCCATGCCCTTTCTCCTGTTACAGGGTAGGCATTATGGATCCACAGACCAGTGAACTTACTGGATATGTGCCCTGGCCAGGCAGTGTGACCTGGGCCTTAAGAGCTCCAGGAGAGATGACTTTGAGGCTCAAGTCATGTAAGGGGAGTGCTGAGCCAGTCCTGAGATCTGGAGCTGGGGAAGCCTAGCGGGCCAGGGAGGCGTTGCCCAGGAGGTGATGTCTGACCTGTTCTCATCAGTCAGAATTTTTCCCCAAGGGGAGGAGATGGGTCTAGAATGAGGGAACAGGGGGAGTAGAGGCACAGGAGGAAGACCAGCAGGCCATATGGTGTCCTGGGAGCAGTTAGTGGTCAAGAGAGTACTGGGGTAAGGGTATTACCCCACATAACAAGAGAGAAACGCTGGTGTCTTGCTGAGCCCTTCCTCCATTGCCTTGACCTTTGCTCTCCAAGGAATTTAATTCACCTCCAGTCTTCCTGCAAGTCCAGGTTCAGGGAAGTGGAGGGGAGCAGCCACCCTGCTTGAGGGCATCCAGGAAACCGGTTCCCCATACCAGCTAGTGGAGGAGGTGTCTGGGCTCTGGACAGGGCAAGATACCAGCAGAGGGTAAAACCCAGCTCCAGGAGAGATGGTCTGGACTTGGCAGGGTGTGAGTGTGTGCATGTGCTCCAGTGGGGAAGGGTGTAAATAATCCTTCAACACATTTCCTGAATATCTACTATGATCCTAGCACTGTTCTGGGTCCTGGGCACATAGCAGTGGACAGAGCACTGAGAGTTCCTGCTCTCATGAAGTTTGTGTTCCAGTGGGAGAAGATAGGCAGTAAACACAGACTGCTAAACAAGTGCTGTGGAGAGAGAGTAAGC